TTAGAAAAGTGTATATAAACCAATATATATAAACCAAATAAATCAATGTAGTCAGTGCAAGCAGAGCATAATGCTTTTTGGTTCTAAGCTGATCATGCAAAAACCATAAACATTGTTTTGTTAGCACTAGGAAGCATATAAATTCTGCACAAGCATAAACTTATGTTTCTTAGAAAAGTGTATATAAACCAATATATATAAACCAAATAAATCAATGTAGTCAGTGCAAGCAGAGCATAATGCTTTTTGGTTCTAAGCTGATCATGCAAAAACCATAAACATTGTTTTGTTAGCACTAGGAAGCATATAAATTCTGCACAAGCATAAACTTATGTTTCCTCTTCGCTTTGAAATTTTTGGCTGAAATACGGCGTGTGATGAGAGCAAGAGCTTTCTCCGAGCTGTGGAATAGCTCACGTGTCAATTTGTTAATAGATAATATTGTTTATACATGCTAAATATTATTCTATTTTCTTTTTTGCGTGAGGGTTATTCTACTAAGAATGCAATTCATCTTGACTATTTAAAAATGGACCTCCATCTATAAAGTAGTGATTTAAAGTTGTTTAATTATTCTGACTACAAGTCTTCTTATTTGCAAGCGGATACAAATGTCAAAGGATTTGCATTTTTTTTCGCACTAAGTACAAAAATGGACCTCCATATATTGAATCTCACATAATAGCTAGACAAGCGGATACAAATTATGAATATTTTGATTCATATTTAATTGGTGAATATCAAAAACCCTGATGACCTTTGGAGGGTATTGCACGCAGCCCCTGATATTGTTTATCTCATATAATTCCGTTAATTTTTAAGGTATCTCTCAAAAACATGTTAATTTTGAAAATTGCTCACCGGATCCCCACTACATGTAAATAAAAAATAATTAAAATTTTATTGAGAGAAAAATAATTCAAAAATATATGAGAAGACGTATATTGCTTGTAAATGACAAATGTCAAACAGTCAAAGGCTTTGCATTTTCCTTCGCACAAGAAAACTTTAGTTATTTTCAAATTACAAATAGGGGGTCGGGCGATAAAAGTTCAAAGGTCAAGGGGGTGTTGTGAGATACCCAAAAGGTCAGGGGAGGTTATGTGAAATTAATTCTACTTTGGATCCTCTCCTAATTCTACAGGCCCGCCCACAGATTTGATCTTGGCACACGCAAGGCCCGGCCCATACAACAAGTTCAGCCTCTCCTCCGCTTTCCAATTTTTTTCGTTGTTCCCGCTCTTCACAAAATCACAAATCAAGAGATCGAGAATCAAAGTTCATCAATGGCGTCGAGAGACACCTACAGATCGGAGCTCCGATCAGCCATACGCCACCTCAGCGACCGCTGTCTCTACTCCGCCGCCAAATGGTAACCCCTCAGATGCCCCCCCAATCTCTCTCCAAACCCTAAACCCTAAAACCCCTAAATCTCTTCTCTTTCTCTCTCTAGGGCAGCTGAGCTCCTCATCGGCATCGATCCCGACCCCAATCCCTCCTCCTCCGCCTCCTCCTCCGCCGCCTCAACCGCCTCTCGAACCCAGAGCCTCCGACGCCGCCTCCGCCCGGGCATCACCTCTTCCGCTGAAGTCACCGCCACGCCCATCGCCGGCGTGTCCTACGTCAGTACGCCGGTCCCTGACGACGATTTTGGCGGGGATGCGGATTGTTATTTATTGGCGAAGACTTATTTTGACTGTAGGGAGTATCGAAGGGCTGCGCACGCGCTGAGAGGGCAAAAGGGGAGGAAAGCGGTGTTCTTAAGGTGCTATGCGCTTTATCTGGTGAGATTTGTTCAAGCTTTTTGTTGGGTCAGCAGTTGTCGTATGTCGTAGAGTGAGAGTAGAAGGTGTTTGATTGAATGCTTGAATGTGACCCATTTTTTCCCGAAGTTTTTCGTTTTAAAACCGATCTCTTACTATCCCTTATTTTTAAACACACCCACTTCCAATGTCATTCATACATTGGAAACACTAAGCTGATATCTTTTTAAACAAAGATTCAGTATTTGACCCATTTATTGACTAATAAATACAATAACAGTTTAGCAAGTATTACAGCAGTTTAGATTGAACTATAACACTTTAACACACCTTATAGCAGTTTGACATAGGTTTTGGGTTTAAAAATGAATCAGGTTGGTTGTTTTGGAGGTTTGAATGATTTTGAAAATGTGTGGTTTTAAAGATAAATCAAGTTGGAGGTGTTTGTTAAAGCAAAGCACACCCTTTATTTATTGCTATAAGCGATTGATTACGGTGCTAGTTATTCTGCTTGTATATGTACTATCCAGAATTATTTCCCGTTCTTTGATTTTTGTGTACATTCATCTTTTGGGGAAAACCTCTGATTTTGTGAGTGTTGTCAATAGAATGCTTCATTAGTGAATTAAGTTTAGTTTACATTCATGCATACTTTTTGTAAGGTTTCATGCTCCTTAACAGCCCTGGAATCACATTAAAAAGAGGATAAAGTTCCAGATAACTCCCATCTCCCTTAGTTCCAAGGTTGTTAAGTGCTACTAAAATACATGAGGGGTGATATGTGCTACTGATTCTGAAGGTATAGATGAGGGGTATATATGCGGTTTACCCTTTTTTGTGTAATGTTTCATGCTTCTGAACTGATCCTTTTGTTATTTTTGATACATGGTTTTTGTTTTCTTACATGTAATTTAACGGTTAAAGCATTATTTTTTTTTCACAGCCTTACAAATAGGTGATTTGCGTGGTGCTTTTGTTGCTGCAGTCGTGCTAGGATTTCTTTAGTGCGCACACTCGTGAGATGAACGAGGGCAATGTCTGCTTGAGTGTGTCTGTTGTTCAAGGTGTAAATTATCCAGTATATTCTGTTTTCTTTTTCCTGGTCACTTGATTGGGTATCCAATTTAAAAGAACTGTTGAAAAAACTTAGATGCCATAAAAATTAATCGCTAATGACCGTATTAAATAAACTTAGTGGAATTGTTTGTCAATTCCCATGTATAAGATTTGAGAAAATTCCACAATCATCAGCGTGTCTGAACTGCCAATTGTTATGTTGTTGGCATCCCCTTGAGAGTTTAGCATTTGCTTTGCAACTCTTTGATAAGCAATAGGAGCTTTATTTTATGCAGCTATTTTGCTACTGCCAATGTTTCGTTGATTTCAACAACAGTTTATTTTGCTCTTCTGGACTAGCTACTCCATTGAGATCCCTCCATCCTGTTCTTGTTATTGTTTTTTAAGGTGACCCAATTTTAGAGGGGCATCCACTATTCTTCGGTAACACGGTCCAAACCTAGACAAGCACTAATTTCTGTCAGCTCATGCATTTTCCTTGCCATCCCGACATGTATCTAAAATAAAGTTCGCCAAGAAGGGAATAATTTGATAGATAAGATAACCCTTTTTCCTGTGTCCTCTGTGTGTGTGTATGTGTTTGGGTTTTTCTTTTTCTTTTTTTTTGGGAGGGGGGTCGTTCATACAGATTCATAGCAATCATGTGTGTAATAGGTGGACCAATTAGAAAAAAGTTATCTTCTTAAAGCAATTTTTTTCTTCTTTCTGGGTGCGTCTTCCCTTGTATGAGATTCTTTTCTCCAGAAAGAAAGAAGTACTCCACACCATTGTCTGGATATTAGCAAGATCTTTCCTGCTTTTAGTGCAAAATTGTTCTTCATATTCACATTCATAAAATTGTTATTCTTTCTGATATTCAATTACTCATACAGAACAGCCAGTATAACGCTCCCCTTTGGCAGCATGGTCACGATGGTATATACCCATTTTTTGTCACCTGCAGTTGAGTTGAAAGCATAGTGGCTTTTCTGTGCTATAGTTGAAGTGAAACTGAAATTTCTAACCACTTAGATGACCGGTTATCTAGGCGATATTTAGCTCACATTTATCTTAATTGTAGAAGTGTAGAGTTTACACAGGAAGCTTGATAAGTCCTACTATGATCTTTTGTGAGAAAACATATTTTATTATTTCATGCGAAAAAAATTTCAGGTAGAGTCTATCTACTATTGTCTTTTGCAAGCAATAAATTTTTTCTCTTTTATAATATAGAAAAATCTGGTTATCATATATATCAACTGTCAATTATACTCCATAGTTTTATGATCATAATCAAATACTATACTACAGGCAGGAGAAAAGCGTAAAGAGGAAGAGCTGATAGAACTTGAGGGTTACCTGGGTAAGGGTGAGCCCATTAACAAAGAGTTGGCCTCTCTTGAGAGGGAGTTATCTGCACTTCGTGGATCTGGTTCAATTGATTCCTTTGGTCTATACTTATACGGCTTAATTCTGAGAGATAAAGGTTGTGAGAAGCAAGCTGTGAAAGTTCTCGTGGAATCCGTCAACAGCTATCCTTGGAATTGGAGTGCTTGGTCTGAACTTCTATCGTTTTGCACAACTGCTGACATCCTTAAAAGCCTGGCTTTAAACAACCACTGGATGAAAGATTTCTTCATCGCCAATGCATACCAAGAACTCAGAATGCATGAGGAAGCCCTGAAGAAGTTTGAGTATTTGTCAGGGACTTTCCGGTACAGTGACCACATCAATGCTCAAATTGCCACAGCTCAATATGGTCTGAGGGATCTAGATGAAGCTGAAATGATATTTGAAGAAATTCTAAGGAATGATCCATTCCGCGTAGACTCCATGGACATCTACTCAAATATACTTTATGCCAAAGAATGCTTCTCAAGTCTGAGTTTCCTTGCACATAGAGTGTTTTTGACTGATAAATACCGCCCTGAGGCTTGCTGTATCATAGCCAATTACTACAGCCTAAAGGGCCAGCATGAGAAGTCAGTTATATACTTCAGGAGAGCTTTGAAATTGAACCGAAAATACCTTACAGCTTGGACTCTGATGGGTCATGAGTTTGTAGAGATGAAGAACACACCAGCCGCAATTGATGCATACCGAAGAGCAGTTGATATAAATCCACGAGACTATCGAGCCTGGTATGGGCTTGGCCAGACTTACGAGATGATGGGGATGCCATTTTATGCACTCTATTACTTTAAAAAGTCTTCTTATTTGCAGCCGGGTGATGCACGGCTGTGGATTGCTATGGCTCAGTGTTATGAGAGTGCACCACTCCAGATGCTCGAGGAGGCAATAAAATGCTACATGAGAGCCGCAAATGGTGATGATAGAGAAGGTATAGCTTTGCATCAATTGGCAAAGTTACATAGTATTCTTGGGCATTCAGAGCAGGCAGCATTTTATTACAAGAAAGATTTGGAGAGGATGGAAGCAGATGATAGGCAGGGACCAAATATGATTGAGGCTTTACTTTTTCTTGCAAAGCACTGCAAAGCTGAGAACAGATTTGAGGAAGCAGAGATGTATTGCACCAGGCTCCTGGATCATACTGGACCTGTAAGTTTATTTCTCATTGGTTAATTTTACACGTCGGGAATTTCTTGGAAATTTGATTCCTATAGCTGAACTCAGAGAAAATTGGGACAGAGCCTTCCCCTTGTTGCTGCCTCCTCCTTCCCTTTTCTTGTTCAATAGGAATTAATGGGGAAAGGTAGAACTGACCAAAACAGAAAAGAAAAAGAGAGAAAACTATTCTTTGATATTATTTTACACATTCTTCTTCCAGTATAGAAATAGAAAAGGCAAAGAAATCTTTTGACAGACCTTGATTCCTTTCCTGCAGTTTTTCTTGGGAATCAAAGAAGCACAAATAGAAAGTACAAAATGCTTGGAAACCTTATTCCATAACAAACGTACAAGACACCAGTAACTTTTATAAATTTCAAAATTTGATGCTTACAATCTGGATGGGAAGGGGGGGGGGGGGTTCTTTGATATTATTTTACACATTCTTCTTCCAGTATAGAAATAGAAAAGGCAAAGAAATCTTTTGACAGACCTTGATTCCTTTCCTGCAGTTTTTCTTGGGAATCAAAGAAGCACAAATAGAAAGTACAAAATGCTTGGAAACCTTATTCCATAACAAACGTACAAGACACCAGTAACTTTTATAAATTTCAAAATTTGATGCTTACAATCTGGAGGGGAAGGGGGGGGGGGGGATCAAAATTTACTTGTTTAATGTCCCTAAAATATTGCAACAGCTCTACTTTTTCTCTGCATCCAAATTAACTGCTAACTCCCCATATATATTCATATCCATGCAGGAAATGGAAACAGCAAAGAGTCTTCTTCGAGGTCTGAAAACAGCTCAATCTGGTTTTCCATCAGTTGATCTTGAGCATTACATCCCTTGAAGCTTTCATCTCTATGTTGCCCAAGAAAATTTGAAAGATGTTCCATTTGCTCAAAAGGGACTGGAAAATAGAAGTAAAAAAAAAATCATGTCCAAACACCAATTTCACGACGAAATTCATACAAGCTATCTAAAAGTATGTTCAGTTTCATTGTTGAAGTGAACTCTACCTCTACAATTTACAACGTCAACCATTATATCACATCATCGGAGCCATCGAGTTTATCCGTGCTAGATGAGTCCAGAAATCTGGAGACAAGTAGCGCCTGCCCATAGTCCCATGGAACTCCTGAAGCTTCGCAATTAGGGGTACTAGGCGCCTCAGTGGTGCAAGAACAAAGGTGAAAGGTAGCAACCATATGCCAATTTCCAATATAAACATCATATAAGCTGTGTGCTGATTTGGGTTTTTTCCTCTCTGTTTACTTTGCTTTGGGCATGTTATATTATAGCCTGCTATGAGAAAACCTCTCCACTATTGCATGATTATTTATTGTTTTGTATTTCTACCGACTGTTAGCTAATATGTTTTGACTCGTAACTAGTTTATCTTCAGTCCTTGTCATCAGAACAGTGTTCTTGTGTTGTTTATAATCAATCATTGGTTTGATACACATGCATGTCCATTTCTCTACTCTAGGCTTTGTATAAATTATACAACCGTCAAAAACTTATTTGCGTTATCCACAAACCTCTATTTTATAATTTTACTTCATTTTCACATGTTTTATATTCACCATTTCTGATAAGTTGGAACCAGTGATCTTATCTGGGTTTATTTATGTCTCTCTGGACTTTAAGGTTTCTTTAATAAAGCATCCTATGGGATTTCATGTTGGCTGTTGTTATTCTTCTCTAATGATTGATGTTATTGTATGACTTATCTCTATTAGACTATGGACCTGTTTAGGTTCAAAGTTGAAGTGTTCACTATTGTTTATTACGAAGCGAAATTAGTTGGAACAATCTGTGAAGAATAATTCTCATAAATTATAATATTTGAGAATAGAAGCAACAATAATTATGACTTCTCTTAGGTTCAAACTATGAGAGGCTGATAATTACACTGCAAGTATAAGCTGTTACAAGTGCAATTGTAGAAATTACTTGGCTCAAATTTAAAATTTTGTAATTACAGTAGCAAGTTTCTATTTTATGGGTTTACTTGTTTTAGGAATTTTTCTTCAGGTTTGACTTGAATTTGAGTTACAATTTAGGCGCTATTTATAGCTCAGAAAGGTCGAATATCGACTTGCATCCAAATCTGCTTATGTTGCTGGCTGTAATTGGAGGTCTTTTTGTGACCGACTTTATCACTCGAGAGGAAACAAATAGTTGGAATGACATAAAATGCGTCTTTTTGTGACTGACATAAAATGCGTCGATTATATGCAACTGCTGTTGCTATTTGTATAGTTGCAATGAACCATATAGACTATAGAGCCTAAACTCTAGTTTCAATTTGACGATTTTACTAAATTGGAAAGTTCTTATAGTAATCAGATAGATGTTGGTGAGATGATAGTCCGTTGGCACTTGTATGAATTTGTTGGCCAAAATTTATGGTTATTTCAAGCTTTATAGCTCACCTGGTCTTGGTTGAACTTGTTAACACTTGAGGCTGTTTGGTACAATGAGAATGACAACGGTTACAGAT